CTTTGACAGATATTCCCAGGCCAAACCACTGTAACACAGGGAAAGGATTTCTGTTTTCACTTTGTCTTGTTCATTGACTTTCACACACTTGGTTATTTTGTTTAAGCACATTTAAAACTAGCAATGAAAGGTGAGACACACTTCTTTTGGTGTTAAAGAAATTCACAATGATAACAGCTTTAAAAAAATATATATATACACCTTCCTGCACACACCCCCTGGCCTCAATTGTGCTCATTTCAAATACACTGGGATCCAGAAGCCCCTATGAACCTGCTTGATAAAACCACTTAAGTGCTGGCTCTGTGTTTAACTGTGAGCCCATGTGAGTCAGCTAGAACAGGGCAGTTGCTGACATGTTTATGGATTTGCTGGTGAATGACCAAGCAGTGAAAAACATGCATAATTACCCCTTTGTAAATTATTGCTTTTTTTTGTGTCATGCATCCCATTATTGCAGTAGTTGTTAGCTGTAGTTTACACACATACCCACCACCCCCCAACAAAAAACAGTTCTCTCGGCATGAGAACACACTATTATACCTTCTTGTCCTACTCTTTGAAGAGTTAAAGAAATGCAAATCTTCCTTACACTGGCCAAAAACCCCAACAACAACAACCACTTCGCCCACCACCCAACAGCTTATAATGAAAGGCTACAGACAATACTTTCGCAGTGCCTCTTGAACCTTACATGCAAACTACTGTTTCCTCTTTTTCCACATTTGGCTGAGGCCAATTAAGTCTTTTCACATCTATGCCACCTGAGTCATTGGGTGGCCTTTTTCTTTAAAATTCAAAAATAAGGGGAAAAAAATATCTTTAGTATGGCTAAACCTGGCTTCATGTACAGTCCCAGTTGCTACAATAGCCTGTAAGCTCCTGAAGACTCATCAAACCTTTCAAGACAACTGTGTGGCTTAATAAGGATACATGGGCTCCTCATTATCCTGAAGATCATGGCCTTCACCTTGCATAAGCAGCACTGGTTTTCCCATCAAAGATGAATTCGAAATAGCCACATGCTTACATTTGCTTGAGGACTTGGATGTGTCATGTCCCTCTCACCCTGCTTTCTCTGTCCCTGTGCTCCTGGCTTTCGGGCTAGCAGGACTTGCAGGGTCCCTTTGTGTTATAGGTGGAATAAAGACATTGTCCATGAACCTGTAGTACTGAATAACTGCTCATGCCCCGGATCAAGGGGTTTGTACTGTCCACCACATGTACTTCCTACTCTTTGGTCATCTGGTGATTTGAAAGAAGCGCTGTTAAAAGGGCGGTGACAATTTCAGAGTTTTTGAAAAGTACAAGGAAATATTTGCATCTTTTTTCCCCCCTATTAATAAATATATTGTATACTTTTCACCTTACAAGCAACGGTAAGACAGTCACATTGAGGACTTAAAAATTGCCTTTAGACTCTGGATGGTTGGACTAATGATCTTAGAGATCCTTTCCAACCTTAGTGATTCCTAGTTTTTACTTTCATTAAAAAATAATCCAGCCACCAAGCCAGGAAACATGAAATTATGACTCTACCCTTAACTGGTTCAGTGGTGGACTTGGTAGTGTTAGGTTAAGGGTTGGACTGGATGATCTTAAAGGTCTTTTCCAACCTAAACGATTCTATGAGTCTATGAATATCTTCTTTTCTTCACAGCTTAACTTTTGCTGTGCTTTGCACTTGTCACCCAAACAACATGCCAGCAGAGGACAGTTTTATCCTTTCACCTTAGTGCTCACAGGCTTCAGAGGACAAATTAAAAAAAAATAGCCATGAGACAGCAGACTTTCGGGCAATGTGGAAGCATGCTTCTGCATGGGTGTGAGGAGGGGCGAGGAGCACACGCCTGCTTCAGTGGTGAGAGAGATTTCTGCAGTGTCCTGTCAGCACACAGCTAATATAACTAACAGGAAGGGCTGCTTTTTGGTCAAACCGGGAGGAAAGAGTAGGTACAATCCTGCCATGTGCTAGCCTGTAAGTCACATTTTTTTTTCTTTGTGCCTTTCTTCACCCCCCCCCCCCCCAAATAATAATGACCACCTTCTTGTGATGACAAATACATCTACACCCCCATATCTATATGTGTGTATATACACACACATATGTGTGTGGACATGCATATATGAAAACTTTCTCTCTCTCTCTCTCTCTCTCTCAAGCCAATACGTGCATTACCAAAAAAAAAAA